GATAAAATCGTTTGCCTTCCCATCTTTAGCAGCAACAGAATTTCAACACAATATAGGCTTGAACTTTAGTTTCTCTGCAAAAGTTATCACCATTTTAGCTACCATCAGAGAGCTGTGAAATTGTTTAAAATACCAATTAGAATTTTGTTAGATGCCTATTTTCCTCACTTCTAAAGGCCATCCCTAGCTAACAAGCTTACTTTTACACCCCTTTATACCCTGCATACTTGGCCTTAAACCCTGAGGACCGTCCAAACTACTACCTGTCCATGAAACAGCACCTTTTCACTCAGTTTAGAATTGCTTGTGGAAAAAACAGTAAATTATTTTGTCTGTAATCTCTCTTCAACCCCTACCAATGCTAACTGTCATCACATTAATTACCTATTAAAAATGTAACCACTGTTTATAATTTGGATTGCATGAGATGGAAGCAGACAAAAAAGATAGTAAGAACTCAAATAATTAAAAAGTATAACTGAAATATGTAATACTACACATTGCTTTCAGATCATGCACAAAACAAGCTGAAGTGATGTACTGTGAAGTGGATGCTGAGGTTTCAGAAAGGTTTTTAATTGAGAAAACAGTGTTTATGTGAGTTCATGGCATCTCCTCATTGGTAGCTGGCCACTTTCATGAAGGTCTAATTTTGAAAAGAAAAGAATTTTTAATCTGAGGCACTGCAATCCTTTGCAGGTATTGGGTAGGTCTACTGGTCTGCTCACTGCTCAAAGCAGTGGGTATCTTCATTGATGTTGACTTGCAGCTGAAGGTGACAGGCATCTTGGTTTGATTTTCTCAAATACTGTGCCTTCAGGAGCACGGGAGCGACAATATTCTCCAATACACTCAATGTACTAGCGTATCTTTTACCGAGAAATCCTAATATATTGAATCAGTAAACATTCGTACTTGAGCCTCTCCCATGATTCAAAGACAACAAATAACCACCATTACCTTTATCATAAATTATACACAGCAGCAAATGAGGCTGGTGATTTATGAAAATCATAAGATAAAGAAAAAAAGAATCCATCACAGTGAAATTGTTCTAAAAAAGTGCTCAGAAATGAATCAAATGTTTGCTTTTTCTATTCTTACAAGATAAATGTACATTACTGATGGAAAATAACTGCCAAATTGTTGTGTAAACGACAACAAAATGCTGCTCTGATCAAGACTGCTTCTGATCTACCAGAGATCTATTTCTTTTACTGAACATTCCATACAGTTTGCGCATTGGGCACATACAGCATTCAGCACTGGATGCATGACGTGCATTCTGGCAAAACTCACTTAGCAACTGAAGTGATTTAACCGGTTGACAATATTTGTCAACAGGATATTTCTGAGATCAAGATCTCAGGGACCATGTCTGAGCCTGAAAAATAGAGATGGCAGCAAAGTCAGTTCCTGTTTGATGTGATGCTTTTGCAAACAGCCCTCATTTGAAAAGACAGGACTGCTCCTGTGTGCGTAGAATTCTATTTTATGTTTTACTGCTATAGGGCAATAAAAATTGCTTATATTTTGATAAAAAAAAAATCAATAAAATTAGATGACTAAAAGAAAACAATAAATTTGAGAATAAGCATTTCACAGCAAATGGAAAGAAAATTAACACAGAAATTATTTTTAAGCTGTATATCCTTTAGGTAGGATGCCAACTTCAACCTGTGTTAACCATTGTCTGGAATCTGCTTGGACATGAAATCCTTCAAGCTAGTCCTCATTACTTCTTTTTTAATTACTTTATTCTTTCTAGAGGAAGTTTTCATCATTACAGTGGAAACTAATTTTTATTCAGTTTTGCTAGAATGAAACGTAAAAATGTCATTTACAAATAATTTGTATTCTGAATAGACAACTCAAATAATCCAAGGACAGTTTTCATCACAGTTAAAGTATTTAATGACAAAATCAGGGTTTCCAGTCATGACTCAAGAGAGTAGGTCCCACTTTCCCCCCTCCCCCCCCAGAATGGCACAAAATAATTTCTACATCTTTGAGAACTTTCAAGGAATTGGTTACAATAGATACCAGCAAATATTACAATTCTGGCATATAATAGTAAAACCTACCTACCCTTAAGATCACTTTTTAGAAAGCACATTTTTGTTAATATTTCACATAATGCACAACTTTTGCTAGACACAAAAGTAGCCTTTTAAGACAGTTTGCAGTACAGTAGTCAAGTCTAACAATACATTATTTTTATTCTCTGCAGAACTTTAAAAAGATAAAGAAACTATTGATGTTGTTACAATTTACAAATACATTCTTTCATATGAAACATAAACCTGAATTATTGTGTGTTATGTACATGACTATCTAATAATACTAAATTGTATAGACTACAAGCTAAGTTCCAGAAGGAAATTGCAATGCTCTAAGATTTACCTTTGGATAGATATTTGTACACCTCTGATTTTTTTCTAAAAACTACCAAATCTTGTAGTTTAATGAACAGCAAAAACAAAGTAAACACACAGTCAAACCGCTTTTCCTTCATTCAATAACACCAGGTTACTTAGAATTCCCATAGTAAATGGCTTTTGATGGTTGGATAAAAGTCCTGAGTTATGATACATAACACAATACACTTAACTGGAGAACATAAAAAAAATGCCGAAAAACCATCAGTGAGACCAAAGGAATGCTTTAGAACAGTTCAACCCACAAAAGGTCTGGAGCTCAGCAGTGCAGCTGTGACCTTGTCCTGTCCAGCTGATATTCATGTAAACACCTGAAACCCTATGCCTTTTTATCTGAATTTAGACAACTAACTTATTTCAGGTTTATCTGATCTGGGGTTTAGACATTTCTTTTAAATAATTGACAAGCTCAGAAGACCAGCTAGATGGCAGCAGTTCAAAACCTTCTTTCTCTCAAGAGAAAGACTTGTGAGGATAGCAGCAGAATACAGTTTAAGAGAGTGGAAAAGATGATGACGGAAGATAGCTATGTGGTCAAAAACGTACTCCTTGACTGATTTCTAATGCAGCTATTTTTAATTAATAGCCTAACATTTCGTCTCTAGCAGAAGTTTAATTTCTAATGAGGGACCGCTTTCCTGGTTAGTTTGCAGAAAATACCCATAGTCTTCACAACAGTGCTCAGATAGCTACTGACGTTTCCAGGGCTAGCATTAATTGCATGTAACTCAGTGGAGTGTTCAGAACTCCTGTCATTAATAAGCCTGTTCTGATTTATAACAAATGTGACCAAATTCCTTTTCAGATGATGGTGCTGGATGTAGTAACCATTACAGCTGATGCTAAGTAGATCTAAATTATTATATGGTACTATAGAGATGACAAATTTACCCCTTCTCTTAATTCCCAGTATGAAATGAAATAAAAAGCTTCATACAAAACATTTTAACTTACACAAAATAACCCCCAAGATGTAGTTTGAATGCAATCAGTTAGCTAGACAGTGCCCTTTGTTCATATCTGAATGTTTTCCTAAAGCCAAGTATCTTTTTACAAAATGGATATTTCCAAGTGCTTTTCAGTTACTTCAGCTTGCAGTAACGAAAATATTCTCAATTACTGCAGAAGCTTTCATCTCTCTTACAAGCACTGCTCTGAGCATTTTAGACTGTTTAAAGTGTCATTAATAATGCAAAAATCTTATTCTACACTGAAAATGAAAACTACAGTACATTCACATAATGCGAGCATTCTGGCTCTCTGGTAAGATGAGGACAGGAATGAAGAGCAGGCATCTTCAGAAGACGAAGGCTGAAACTTCCGCTAGGATTTCTGTTTCTAGCTTACTGGTTAAAGAAAAAAAAAAAAGCAGCATTTTTTCTTTCCTTCATTCTAGAAGCATATTAGAATATGTTAAAAAAAGTTCAGAAAACAGCTGTGAAGGAAAATAGTAACCTACTTATTGTTGTAAGAGGATACAGTGCATATATTGCGTGTAGTGACTACAGAATGAGGAGGGAGTCAGCCTTCTAGTGATAATACATACTGAAAACTGAGATCCAGACTAGAAGTTGTGATTCTAATGTACCAAGACATGCTTTTTGAAAGCCTATTTTAAAAGTCAGACAACTAGCTAACATGAGTCATTGTAATCAAATTTCTGAAGTGTTCCCAAAACTTCTTACTGTAGAATTTATGAAAAACATGACTTAGAAAATGGTGCGCTCTCATTTTCCCATGCCTTTGCATTCTCATTTATATAGGCCCTTAGCCTCAGAATCACAGGTAAAAAGAAAATGAAATGTTATTTTATATCAGATTGCTAAATTCTAGATTGTGTTTGAGGCACGGCTATGTGTGTATAGATGTAAAAATTACCTCTTTCCTCAACTTTGAAACCTCGAGCATACATTCTGTAGGTTTCATTATACTACTCAAATAAACAATCCAGAAGGGAAAATAGTAATACTCTAAATGCACCACTGATAACAGATTCCCCTATGGAATTCAGATATACACTTCTGAATGCTGGTGATGGCACATGCAAAACCTTCTACGCTGGGCAGAAGAAACAAGTTGTTCTGTTTCCCAGGACAAAGCAGTCTACTCTCCACTACAGTTACAACCCCAGGTGTTTAATACCAGCACTCACACATTCTGCTGATGCTACACAAAACGAAGTATACCCCTTCTTTGGATTTTATTTCCACACATACTTCCACAACCAGCTAAATAATTTTCTTCACAACTGGGGAAGAATATTACTATTTTAATCCTGATCAGCTTGTCATTTGGTTCAGTTCCCCTGTTTGCTTTCACTCCTGTAACAACTGAAACACAGGTAGAAAGTACTGCAGGACTGTGTAGCAATATTACAAGAGAGGAACAAAAGTAAGTCAAAAAAGGTAGAAATGCAACACTTTTTCCTGCTCAGAAACTGAAAGAATGCATCTCCACTGAACTGGAAGGAAAAAAGCACACAGAAGTCTGGATCTCCTTCAAGAATTGCTGAACGTAGCCTTTCAAGTTTCTCTTGGGAAGATTTCAACTTTGGGCAGTATCTCAGCATTTGTGCTTCATGGCAAGCTGAAAAAGAAATAAAAAATGAATTAAAGAGAGGTCACATGTTAACGATAGCTCTATCAAGCTAATGTGTCTAGGCTATATAAGGAGAGCTTGTAAACCAAATTATCCAGAAAGATGCCTGAAACCCGTAACTTCTTTGCACACAGACACACAGTCTTTCCCCTTTGCTGCAACAGATGTGCAAGTCTCCCTTTGCTATGCTGCAGAGGCAGGATTTATCTGCTTTCATAGCTGTGCCTCCCAAGTTTCTATTTTGTTATCTGTGAGACAGGCTGCAGCAAGACACTGGAAACAAAGACATGCTTAAAAGAATGGTCATGTAGATCTAATGATCTGGATTGTTAAATACAATCAGAAATTCTAGACACCTGTTTAAAATACCTGTTCAGCAGCTCTGCCACTACGTAACGAGGAAAAAATAAGGACTGATTGCCTTTCCACCTCTGTGATTACTGATTATTTCCATTTCAAATAGTTCAAAAATGGACTTAAAACTGGAAATGAGAGGGAGAAGGAAGAGCTAAAGTGAGTTAAATTTGACCTTGGCAAACCGAGAAGAGAACTTAGTTTTAGGGTCTGTATAATTAAAATTTGGTATCTGTATAGAATAGAGATGAGTGAACCCTCTAGGAAGTTACCTACAAACCAGCAATAGTAGGGGCAATTAAAATTTCCTCATTTGCTACCAGTGAAATGCTGACCAATAAACGGTTCAAATTAAATTGACATAAGCCTTTGACACTCGAGGACCTGGTCATAAATATGCCATTTAAAAAAAAAAAAAAAGAAGATAATTTGTAGAGATATACTGGAAAGGCATTTCAGCATGAAAAAACTCCAGTACTTTTATTTCGCCCCTTAAACAAGATTTTTTCTTCAGAAAAACGTGTCTTAGCAGGCAACTCCGACAGCAAGTTTTTATTACACAGAATCCATAACTCTGAGCTCCTGTGCAGCCACCAACAAGGGGAATTAATTTTTTACAAGGTACACGAAGAAGGTGAAGAAGCTGTCATAAGGAGGATTTGATAGACACCCTGAGCTAAGTTCAAGCCTTTACACAAGAAAATACATTGGCATTCAATAAACTCTGTGAGTGCTATAGTTTCTGGTGCAAACTAAGTGGTTTTTTGTGTCTGGGTTTGTTTTGGTTTGTTTTTTACAGGTCGCTAAGCTGTTTTTTGAAAGAAATGCATCTTCCACTGTCTCCATTATGCGTTTTGTATCTTAAAATAACCTGTCATGTAGCTGGAGTAATGTCCAGTTATACAAATGAAGCTGTAGAAGAAATCTGTATCCAGTCATGATACTATAGTGGTGAAATTAATTATGAGCTGACAATAATTCAAAGTACTTGCACTGTTTTACTGAAGGCAGCTATAATGCAACCAAAATGGGAATTCTGTTTTGCTGCTCGGAGCGTTCACAAATATCAGTAAGTGAAAACTGGTCTCTCTCTTTACTGCCACTGTTTTGCTAGAAACTTGGAATTTTACTATTTAAGCAACACTCAGCTTTCCTGGTTTCACTGGAGTAATAGGTTTCCTTTTCTTCATCAATAATATCTAAGGTCTGAGTAGCAGCTGCCTCTCAAAAGACCCTAAACCAGAGGAATATTTAACAATAAAGAATATTGTACTTATTCCTAAATGCTCCACCAAAACCCCAACAAAATGCTCTTGCAAACCAAAGCACACCACCATAAAACAACAGTCTCTCTAACATAATACTTTCCTGGGTGGCTGCTCTATGCATATTTGTGAGATAACAGTAGAGGACTTGCAGGACTACTGCAGCTCTAAGATACAATTCAAGACTTGAGGCACCAATACAGAAAAACTTGCAATTAAAAAAAGAGTTGCAAACCCTATTTTACTAAGTTATCCTTAGGATCATTAAGATGACAAGTATTCATTTATAGTCCTCTAACAACTAAGCTATATTTTGTTTTCTTCAAATATAAATATGTTATTTTCTTGTTAAAAGGACAAAACCCAAGCATTTATTGCAAACCCTTAACTACCATCCACTAAAAGAGACTGCCACACTCCTGTTTCAGTTTGCTGATAACTGGGGTAGCTTCAGCAGCACGTGGCCCCACACTCATCTGAGGAAGACCAGCAAACTGTAGAACTGGACTGGCAGGAAGGTTTCATAAATCTCAGCCCAGCACGCAGTCCAAATGGAGATTATCCTTTTCTATTCTGCATCACTTAAACATTTCCTGCAGAAACTGTTCTCACCTACTGCCACAGAGACATGCAAACTAAAATGAACAAAGTCCCGGTTGAGAATTTTCCATATTTTTTATTTGATTAAAAAAATAAAATACTTGTGAAAGTTTTTGTTTGTTAATGCCGTAGCCACACATTGTTTGGCAGAAGCATGATAAAGACCAACACATGTGTTAAGCGGCAAAATCATCAAACTTGTGTGCTAAAATGGTTGCTCATGTGCAGAAAACATCCACCTTTTTTTTTTTTTGAAAAGCATTCTGTCTCCTATGGATGCGAGCAGCCACCAAACCGAATGCTGTGGATGTACAGAATTTCTTGTCAGAGATGGAAGCTCAGCACCACTATGCACATGCAGAAGCAACAGGCACAGTGCTATCGATACCTTCCATCAAGAACAGGGAATGTCCACAACAATTCCTCAAACTCCTCATATACGCTTCCAGATATAAAAAGACACGTCTTCAGAAACAGACACAAACCTGTGACTGCTTATCAAAGGGGAGTAATAACAACTCCACTATACTGCTGCACAAAGCATAAGAATAGCACCAAACAGTAGTATGGATTTGAAATATGCCTTAGGAAAGTGAAGATAGGTAGTTTTGCTTCAAGTGGAAATGAAGGAAACCTCAGATCTATGCACAGAAGTCGTCATAAACCAGAAATCTGTTGAGAGCAGAACAGTGTAAGGCAAACAGCCAGCTGTTCATAGCCAGAGCTTCCTCCTCTCAAAATAAAGGAATGTGTGACTTTAACTTATTGAGAGCCTTATCCCGCCACAGTCTTACCTTGTGTGCAGTCTCTGCAAACTGCTGAGCGCTGTTTTTCAGCTCCTCTGTCTTCTCTTCTGCTCGACCTAGCCTTTCACCACGCTCATTCAGAGCTTGACTTGCCTTCTGCACTGCACTTGTCACACTGTCTGCTGCTGAATGGAGTATGCTGTTTCCTGCAATGTCGAAAGAAGCTATTACAACACTGAAATGTATATATAAACATGTATGTGTATGTATGCGTTGTATTACAAATTGTATTAAATACAATTATTTTCATTTATAACGCTCTAGATCTGATGTGTTATCTGTTAGTTTACCATCCAGTTGCATTTTGGATAATTGGATAAGTTACTGTTTTCTCACTCAAACCACATTATTAGCAAATTATAATCAAGTACCGTATGGCAACATGATATTTGGGGAAGCTAAGGAAGTAGTGGACTTAACTTAGCTATATATATTATCTTTTAAGCCTTATGCTCATGCATCATTTTAGGAAGCCATTTTACTAAATCAATGAAACTGTTCACAAGTACAGCTTCTTCACAACACTCTCCTGTTAATACAGATTAACCTTCTTTGGAAGTTACACTGTTTCCATAGAGAATAAATGATAGACACCACAGGACATGTCTGCATGACTCCACCAGTTTTTGGTGACAATTGTAATGATATTTCATTTGCAAGCACACCCCAAACACTATTACTACAGTTATTTTATGCTGCTCTGATCCATCTACCTTTGACTCTTCTCCACGCAGAGCAACAGCCATGTTTCATGCGACAACACAGTTTATTTAAACCATAGTATTTAAAGCCCAGCAAGGCTCAATATCTTCTAAGCCTTTAGCTTCACCATCCAAAACAACTGAGTTTCTCAGTTTCTTCTCTGGCTCACAATGTAGTAGTTTCTTTAAGTTTTCAATAAAACTGCATTTCTCCTCTATATTTATCCCTTTTAAATGCTTATTGTTTTCAGTACTCCTTTCAACACTACTTCTCAACAGAAGGAATTATCCTCTTTCTGGAATGAGCTGCTGATGAACATTTACAACATGAACCACAGTACAAACTGAAAGCTCTTCAAAGTTACACATTATCAGTATGAACCAGTACGTATTAAAATATGGGTAGGACAAAGAATTTTGTCCTATCCTTTTACCTTTTCAGCAAAAGGACTAGCAAAAATTCAGCTTTTCGCAATACAGTAGTCCCTGTAATACTTAATCTACCGCACAGGGCATTTGTTGCCTAGCACTCTGTTGTCTAGACATACACAAAGGCACTAAGAAACCCGAAAGCCAATACAGATAAGAGTATTAACCACTAGGCACACTGTCGCTGCCAGTTTTTTGAACTGCCCCAAATGCCGTAATCACACAGAGCCTTTTTTCACAGCATTAAAACCCAACATGTAACACTTTTAAATGAATTATGCTGGTAAAGGTACGAAACCAGTTCAACACACGAAGGTGAGCCAAGCACCCAGCAAATCTGCTGTTATAACAAAGTCTGCTGCTGTTACAGACATACAAAGACAAGTTAAAATAAACACAAACCTACCGGCTTTATTGTTAATCTGAAAATTGTGCCTACTTCAAAAAAACTGCCAGGTTAAAAAATAACCCCCAAACACTAATTTTAAGGGTTATTTTGCTATTAGTTTCATAAGGAAAAAGAAGAACAAAAGACCCATTCAGACTCATTTTCCAGATTATACTCCTTTCCTTAGAAACAGCAGAACAATGAAGAGTGAAACTGCAGGTTTCCCCAGTAGCCTGTGAAACAACAGTGCAAGCTGCACAAGCATCAACTCTTGAGATAAAAAAGGCCTTAAAATTTTATTCAACTAAAACACAACTAGTATCAAATGGTGCAGGTGGGGGAGGAACCCAAGAACCTACACACAATGACTCACATATGAGTCAATATGAGAAATATCAAGCAACGAGCACCTTGGCCTCCTGTATACCAATACTGTTACATTTTTCATATCAGTAATTAAAAATAATGGATGTACAGGATGTGGAACAGCTACAGGTTTATTTTTTTATTGTTGAATGGAACAAAGAGGCAGCATTTAGAAAAGGAAAATAATTATTGGCATTAATGTTGAAGAGATGAATATCTGAGAATACCGAGAGTTGGAATTTGCAGACAGAAATGGAATTTACCTTTCCAACTGGTCTCTCTTCAGACACTGAGGAGCCTGATAATAAAACCTAGCAACTTCAAACGTTGCACACTTACTTCAAAACTCTTCAGTTAATTGTTATTTTGTTCATAATATGCTTGTTCAAAGTCAGTTCTTAAATTATTTTGGCTTCTGTTCAGGTAACTTTTCCAATAAACACATGTACTGGGCAACATTGCACTGGAAAGTTTCCCTTTTTTGGTGGTGTGATCTAAAGGCTTTAGCCTTTTGTATAAATCACTGCTAGTTTTCTAGGATAAGAGCATAAAAAGCTCTCAACACTGGATTAACTCTGTTGTTGCTTTACAAGACCACAAAGCTTCTGCTGAATTCAAGGGAAGCAGGGTATATGGAGAACTTTATAAAACTAGGCATCTTTTGAAGTCTTAAAATGTGTTGGGGAGTAGAAGTTAACACAGATTGCTGACCTGTCAATGTCAACAGGAAATTACAGAATGAAAATCTTCTGTATTTTATGTATTCCTGAAAATTATCAGGATCTGTGGCCAAAGATTGGTATCTATTTCTCCACATTGTCTTCAGCAGAGAAAAAAGAAGTTGGAAGTTTGGCAAGTGATAACAACTGTTCTTCTTTCTAGCTAACACAGTATCATATTCTCTCCAGGTAAGATCCAATGTATTTTTCCATGGCCAGTGCCTTGCAGAAGCTGCTATTCTGAGGCTGCTTTGGAGAACTACTTTTGGACAATCTTTTCCAATGGAACATCAGTAAAATAATAAAAAAATCCACTCTATGAGCAACACAGAAACCCATGTGTCAACAGTCTATGGAATTTCATCAGTGTATTTCTAGAGCATGTGTAGGTGGTTTCTGGTGTGACTGACTATGCCTCGTCCTTGAATTAGTATTACTGAAAGAATACTTGTACTGGATGTATTGGACAATCATTCCCAGGAACAAATCGCCTATACTCTTCAAAATTTTTTAGCTGTACTTCAGGAGATAACTTCTATGACACAAGATCTCCTGAAAAGTTTGTTCCATGATTGAAAAACAAAACTTAGGTGTAAACTTATGCCAACCACCTGTACTGAGCCACTGAAGAAAAACTGAAAGAAGTTTAACAGTCAACATCTCTTTCCTAGAGTCTGGAAATACTGTTTTCTATTTTGCTTTGTTTTTACCAAAGATGTGACAACTGCTGTTAACAACCTTTTCTTTTTTTGGCTCTATGAAGAGTCTGAGGGATTTCAGGACTTCTCATCTACTAGACTAGAGACAAAAGCTCCTCAGTTACAGATTTTCAACAGCTTTTCACAAACATCTTCTCAGAAAGAGATTTTATAGCACTTGCAAGATGAGATAAACACCATCAAAATATGGGTATGAGTCAGCTGATGTTCAGAGTTGTTTTTAGTATGAACGCACTTGCATTATTCCCAAGATGTTCAACTCCAAGGGCCTGTGATCTCAAATTTTGCATGGCTACAGTCTGTGCTGTGAGCAGAAGAGTCCTGCATGCTTGTGTTGCTGCTTTTTCTAAGGTGTCCACAGAGCCCCCCATTTCTGTAGTGTATGTATCTTTCTATTGCTCTGCAGTGCAGATCCTAACAGTTGAGACTACAGACTTTTCTCTTTTAAATAAACATGAAAGGAAAATAGAAAAGTTTACATATTTTGTTACTCTATTAAAAAGCTTTTTTTTTGAGTGTCTATTAAGGGCAAGTACTCAGCTTTTCACTATTTAACAGTATTTGCAGACTGAGTAAGTGGAGCAAGTATTGCCATATAACATGGGGAAAACATGTATTTATACTGAGTTCCATATAAAGTACTAGGTTCATATTAATTTCTAGTATCAGGAAAACATGTACGTTTAGGCCAACTTCAATTTGAAACTAAACAAATCAAGCTTAACTCAGTGTGTTTCTTCAGTTTAATTTTGCCATTTATAAAAGCACATGAACATACTGCTAATTTATCTCCTGCTCCTCATACAAGTGGCTTAATAAGGCCACTTCTAATACAGCTTTTTCTGCTATAATACTTTTTGCATTGTTATCCGAAGTTGTCTACCCAGAGGAAAGGAACATGCAGATTTCCCAATCCATCAATAGCTACACAGCTTGGTAATCCGATTTGCTAAGCAAACTATACATTTTATGTTGAATTTGCTGTAGTGAAATACAAACCACTGGAATTAAACTACCCTCTCCCCTTAGAAAATTAAATTAGCTACCTGTATAATTAGACAACGTTATTGGGGTCCAATAACGCTCTAGTTGGGGTGCAGAAATAACAGATGGGCAGCAACCCTTGGGTGAGTGCTTTAGGCCAGTGATCCTACAAGTGTTACTTGCTGATGGACACAAAAACTGAAGAAATAACACTTTGCAGGAAGCACCACAGCTTCTCTCAGTTTAATTGTTGAAATTGTTGGTTCTTATGATCATAAGCTATATCAGAGGGTCTTGCAGCCCACGGAATCAGGTGACATTGCTTTAGGCCTTTAGGCACAAGAGAAAAGCATATCCTTAACCCAGCATACCCAGGTACCTGAAAAATACAGCGATGCTGTCATCAATCAGCATGAGAACTGGTCTATTTGTTGAAGAAACTAACTGGCCTCTAGAGATATCACTATTTAGTTTGCACAATTTGTTTTAACACGCATTTATAAAAGGTTCATTGCATTCTCTATTAGCCATATCAAATACAATTCAGTTCAACGCAGGGATTTATCTGTACATTACTGATAAGACTTTACAGTGACTGATTTGTAAATGCAAGCATGTACTTTCTAATCGTCTATGCATTAACACAGCACTTAGCAACTACCTTGTTCTGAGAAGGAAATAAATGCAATTAGCAATGATAATTAAGAAGTTCCATCTGTCACATGAAAACTTTTTATTTAAGGAAATTAGATATTTATGTTCCCCATTGAACTGCATACAACTGGGCCTGTGTCACTGAATAAAGGGTAAAAGCATAATGACAATCAGTTCAAGTTCATT